AAGTTTTTGATGAGAATGCAGGTGTTTTTCCTTCAGAGGACACAAAGATGGAAGTGGACCAGGAGGAAACCAAGGATGAGTCAGCATCACACTTTCTGTCAGGAGAGATAGGTGAGGACTCAGCTGCATCGTACTTACCATCAGGTGAGAAGGATGCTAGCCTTGGTGGTACTTCAAGTCCGCGGAAATCGAAGAAAAGCCGCCTGAATAAAATTCCTGATCCTCATTTTCATGAAGAAGTTCAGGATGATGCAACCTTTGAGGAGAAGGAAAAGGCGGTGGAGAAGATAAGAGAGGTCAGAGAGGATGATGGAGAGAAGAAATTAGAGGCTGAAATTCAAGAATCTTTTCCATCTGAAGTAGTTGTTGATCCAGATACAGTGGATGTTGACAATACCTATGAGTTGCATACTTCACCTTTGAAGTTGCTGGGAGAACTTACAGGAGATCCAGGTATTGGCTTTTATCAACAATGCTTCAGGGAAACTCACGCAAGATTGTTGAACCATGTTTGTTTCAGAAAAGGTGAGATTTCCCATCCTCACTATCAGTCAATGATCAACGAGGATGACTTTGTTCGATCCATACGAAGGATCTGTCCAGTACCTCCACCTGATTGTTATGAGGACAGCTCAGAGCATGATTTGAAGAGATTTTTCATCAATGATGACCGCATCATTTATTTGGATGACAAGTATCAGGTCGATCCAAGGGCCCTTGAAAGGGCAGAACAAGCTCGAGCAGATTTGGAGGTGACAAAGAACCAATTTAGAGAAGAACTGGAAACATATGGTCCCAAGGGACCCAGTTGGGACTATGTCATCTTCTATGAAGAGCTGTACAGAAGGTTCCTCAAAGGAAGAATAGAAGAACAATATGGAACTAACTTATTGGCCAGCTCAGAGTCCTTGACATTTTTATCCTGGAACTATGGCAACATGGTTCGTGGTCAGAAATACACCACACCAAGGTTTCTCCAAGGACTGGATCGTGCAATGAAGCCACGCAAACAGAGTGACATGTCACTTCAATATGAGCAATTTGAAAACAACCTTTTCTTCAACATGCTCTTCTTTTTACGTGCACATGTCGTGATTCTCCAGGAAGCTCATCTCCTTGTTCCTGCCAAGGATTTTCTTGAGCAAAAGAATTGGACAGTTTGTTTCAATGATTGGGAGAATCTTGCAGTGATGGCTAGAATTGCACCAGATGGCTATATCAAGGTCATTGCTGGACATGACCAAGACCTTGGTCACTGTCAACAGCGTGATGTAACTTGGGCTATCTATGAGATTTGTTTTGGAGAAACAAGGCCTCGTCAAGATTTCAAGGATGCAGACTTTGAATTTGAGGACTATGGTCCTAGAGACCAGCGTGTGCCACTTACACGAGCGAACATGCATAAAATCAGAGTCTGTAATTATCATGTGGACACACACCGCGCAGTGGATGCCCACTTATTGACAGGAGAACAGACAGCATTGATGCTTTATGAGTGTTTTGTATATGAGGTGGACATCATTTCTGGTGATGCAAATAGTTTGGCCTACAGAATGTCTGGGTACAAAAGGCAGCCAATGGCTAACTATTATTACAGCACCATGCAGCATTGGATCCGCAGGCAGATCCTGGTATCAAAACACCTATTCCCAGAACATTTTACAGTTCATCTTCACATGTCCTTAAGCAGTGTGAAGTTTACTTTGAGAAACTCTGGAAGGAATACTCTACAGAAGAAAAAGAGACATACCAGGGATCAAGGCTTGGCGATACGTGTTTGTCTACCATTGTTGAATGGGGTCATTCAATGAGTGAAAAGGAATATACAGATTCCACAGCGGACACGAAGGAGTTCATCTGTAATTTTTCAGAGAATTTTGCTGTGATTGACACGGAGGTTATGTGTTCAAGACCCTCTGACGAGGACAGTCATGGTCCAATGTTTATTTCACTCAGACCAGCTTCCCTCTCATCTGGGGACAGGAAGCTTTATCGCGCGGGCGAGACTCTTCGAGAGGCGAACTTGCGGAGGAAGGAGAGACAGAAGCAGAACAAAAGGAAAGGAAGGCCGTCAACTTCTGAACAAGCAGCTTCATCGACTGCAGCGGCAGAAACTTGGAGCAGAGGCTGAATCTTATTTAATGGCTAGGAAGTGAAGATACTTCTGATTACAGTTGATACTTTGCTTTCAGGCTTGATTTTAAGTTGCCAGGCTGAAGTTTTAAGCTTTAGCACGCAGATGAATATAGTTTTACTAAACGGATATTATCTGCAGGTAGGTATGGACAGTTTTACAAAACTGATGATATCTACCACAGCCGCTCTTTAGAAGTGACCTCTAATGGACAACCATTTATGGTTGATGATTAATTCATTTTATGAATTGCAATTGTAGTGCAAGATTTTTGTACATACATTTGCCGGTATCTCCTTCCTTTTTGTTTTTGGCTGATTTTGGTATCAATGTGAGAGAGAGAGTCCTTTTGATGCATTTCAATTTTTGGTATAAGTCCTGTGTATGGAAGCGGCCGAGTCCACTTTTCGAGAAGACCATTCCTCGGACCGAATCATGTACGCTCCTTGCATTTTGCAAGGCATTTTAATTCAGTGCATTTTGTGCGGTCTTGAAATTTTTGTTCTTTCGTTACGCGGGTGTCGTTTACTGTCTTTCTAGGTCTCTGTGCAAAAGAAGCCGCTTTCTTTTTGAATTTAGAATTTTCTAAAGGATTGACAGCTCTGGCTATTTAAGGGCTATTGAGCGCCGGTGCATGGTATCTTCGCCGGTGAACGATACAGTCTCCAGCCGAGATACATTGTTTTTGACTTTGTATTTGAGGTGAGTAAGCTATCGCTCCCTCACTGTATCTAGTATACCTTGAGATTACCTCTCCTATAGTGTGTAACACACTAGAATTGGTAAGTACAAGGCACCGTAGTTTCCTTTTAAGCTTACTAGAGCTTGCTGGACTGTTTTAGCCTTAAGGTGGAAAAATAGTATGCAACATACGCAATAGGCTGGAGTGGACATGAATTTTGTGCCTGCTGAAATGTAGAGGCCTACTTGTACAGGTTCCACTCCAGTGGCCTATCTAGTGTGTCCATGCTTGACTGCCATAAGGCTCAAGAGGATAAGACTCTGCGCATAAAAGACACTAGCGGTCTGCACATCAACCGTGTACGCCCTAGTCACTCTTTCACCCCCCGGGGCCCCCCCCCGGGGGCCGGGGAGGCGAGGTTTGAAACCCTCGTTTTTGTTCGCAAAACAAACAATCTTCTTTGCACGGTGTTTGTTGGGGTTGAAACAACGTTTGTTTAAAACTTTGGCTCGCGATGTATCTCTTATACATATGTCATATATATATATATTCTTCCTTGGCCGGGGGCCTGGCCGGACGGAGCTTGCGAAACGTAACTCTCTGCGTAGACTGCACGCGTCGGATGCTCAAACGTGAGGCGAAATGCGAGCTCCAGGTCCGCCAACGTGAGGTGAAATGCGAGTTTGGGATGAGTGTGGGTGAGCCGTTTGCGGAGATCCTGCATGTCGAGTGTGCAACCGTAAGGTGAAGTGCAAATCTAAGGTCGGTGAAACGTTTGCGGAGATCGTCTGCGCGCGCGGCCAAAGTGTGAATCCTTGTTGAAAACGAAGGCGGCTTCCGCGAGGCTTAGTGTTGTCTCTAGTCTGTGTGGCACACCGCACAGCGAAATTACGTCTTTAATGTCGCTGTGCCATGAGGCTTGGCGCACCGGGTGGCCAAATCAGAGCCATTAATTAATGTCCTCTGAGCGCCAGGTACACCTGCCTACGCGACGCGTCTTTCAAATGTGCACTTCAAATGCCTTCCCATGCTCTGCAGTACACCTGAATACTGGCGCGTTTGTTTTCCACGCTCCTGTGCCATTCGTCGTCTAGTTTGTTCGTGTGTCCTTCTGCAAACACAACGAGATTTGAGTGGTCCATCATGGTCTACCTATGTCTACCTCATTGACTGCAGAATGAACAGTGTTGGCTGCAAAACACCATAAGATACACGTATGCGAAGAGCAAGCAAGGCATGAAGGATCAAGGTTGAACATGAAGGTGCATTGCATGGAGGGTCAAAGATAAATCTAGAATGATGAACCCTTTGCACAAGCATTGACGCGTGCCAAGCATTCATAGACCCATCACGCGCTAGACCCATCACGCGCGGCAATATATTCTACTCGCCTCAAGCAGGTCACGAAATGTAGCCTCGGCTACCTAAGCTCCCCTTGCTTTTGCAAAATGATGTGGGGGCGGTAGAAGTCTACACTGCTTGATTTCGATGATTTGAGTATTGGTTTCAGATGTCCGGGAGGTTAAGCCCTCCCGTGCCCTCGTTCGATTCCATTGTGTTTTAATGGCGACATTGTGGCTGATCAGGCTTGCTTTGATGCTGCTTGCTGCTTCCTGCCAGCTTATTGCTGCTGCTGCTGGTTGCTGGTTTGCTGCTGCGGCTGCTGTTGGTGGTGTCTGCTGCTGCTGGCTGCTGGTTGCTTTTGCTTCTGTTACTGCTGCTGCTGTTGGTGGTGAGACTTTGCTTCTGTTGCTGCTGCTGCTTTGCTGCTGCTTTGCTGCTGCTTTGCTGCAGCTTTGCTGCTGCTTTGCTGCTGCTTTGCTGCTGCTGCTGCTGCTGCTGCTGCTCCTGCCTGCCTGCTAGTGCTGCTGCCTGCCTGCGCTGGCTGCCTGCTGGTGCTGGCTGCCTGCTGCTGCCTGCCTGCTCCTGGCTACCTGCTGCTGCCTGCCTGCTGCGGCTGCCTGCTGCTGCCTGCCTGCTGCTGGCTGTCTGCTGCTGCCTGCCTGCTGCTGGCTGCCTGCTGCGGCTGCCTGCTGCTGGCTGCCGGCTGCCTGCTGCCTGCTGCCTGCTGCTTGCTGCTTGTTGCTTGTTGCTTGCTGCCTGCTCCTCTTCAGAATCTTCCAAGCTCTACCTTTCGTCCGCCTCCATCGCCTCAAGCTTCTGATAGTTGCCCAGCGGGCGCAGGCAGAAAATGAAATGTACGAGAGGAAGCTTGATGTTGACAATGAGCAGACCGAGCAAGTGGATGAAAAGAGGAAGTTCGAGCCTTATGAGTCATATGAAAGGTTTGCGTTTTCATGTTTCATTCTAGACTCTAGACTCTTCTCAAGCGCTCCCAAGAAGTATTGACAAACAAGGAGTCGAATGGACTTCTTTCAGGAATTGGAGTACGCATGGTGCCTTGAGATGCAAAAGTTGCGTGTTTCATGTTTTTTTGCTGCGCTACGAGCAAAGTGGGCTTTGCAAGTATTTGCTCATTTGTGTATGTTTTGCTGTCCTCGTGCTCTCGGACAAAATTCACCGAAGCATATCAATCCTTCAACCCTTTCCACAAAGGTTCGGCTGCGCAAAGTGTTTTGATTTCCTCAAGAGTTGGAAGTTTCAATCTGCACATGCTTGCACTTGCAGTTGAGGTTGCCATACCTGGAGGAATACTACGAAACGCTGACTCCAGAGATGCGGAGTTTGGATTGGCGCCAAGAGGCATTGCTCGCGTTGAGCACTCTGTGACATCCGACACCAGCCTTGCCCTAACAAGTAGTCAAACAGATGTTACTCGTTTTCATTTTAGAAAGACGTGGCAACGGCGGAAAATTTGTTTGAACATCGGAAGGACCTTTGGCGATTGCACCCTCAACAACGGCGTGAATGCTATCGGCAATGGCTACTGGAGGCAAAGTGTTCTTTTTGGGGCCCAAGGTCGGCAACCTTCAAAGGCAAGCGAAAGGATGCAATTCACAAACAGTGCAGCAAGGCGCATGAAGAAGCCAGAGGAATTCTGCCAGAGCTGGCACATTTGCTGGAGAGGAATGCCGAAAGCAGGGCAGTTTTGCTCTCAGATGTCCAATTCATGCTTTGCTACCGCACTGATGCCTTAATCCACAAGGCTCTGGATCGCGATCGCAAGCTGGCAGTTCTCCGCGAGATGCAGGCTAGTCTCATCCAGTCGTAAGTCAGAATGGTTGGGGTATCCAGCTTCACGGCATGGCACAAGCATGGGCACGCCATTGAGAAAAGCATAAGCAACACGATTCCAAGGTTGTTGGAATGACGACAACCGCTGTCTCCAAATATCAGCTCCTCCTCAAGGACCAAAGTGACCAAGGTATGTAGCAGGCATGACAGATGACCCTGAAATTAAGGAGGTGTACAAAATCAATTCGAATATATACATTTATCGACATACTGCAATGGTGGAATCATATCATTTCCCAAATTCGCCAAACTAGTTGCTTTCTTACAAAATTCGCTCCACTTCGTCAGGAGCTGCGACCAGAAATCGTGATTGTGGAAGAAGCCGCAGAAGTATTGGAAGCACAGCGCCCAGAGTCGGAGTCCGTTCCCAAATGTGTAGCGAAAGGTTCTCGTTTAACTGTGGGGGGTTGGGGGTAAACTCTTGTTCGCGACCCATTGTCGTAGCGACCGCAACCGTTCGCGGTAGACCTCTGTGGCGCTGACATTGGGCGAGGCTTTTGGAGAAGGCTTTGGATGGAAGCATGACGTGTCGGATTCGTGCGATATATACATATATATATATAGGAAACGTGTGGAAACGTTGTTGTGGAGACTTAACGCGTGACTTTTGGAGGGAGTCTCGTACGAAACGCTCGTTTTGGAGACTGGAAATGTGACTTTTGGAAGAAGTCTCGCAAGGACGTACATACAAGAGTGTTCAACAAGAGTGTCCCGCAAGAGTGCCCCACAAGGGTGGCGTGTCCACAAGAGTGTCCTACAAGAGTGTCTCCTACAAGAGTGCCCTACCACAAGAGTGTCAAACAATGCTTGGCCGCTTGTTTTCGAGTGCGTGTGTGCACTCGGGTTCGTGGGCTACATTATTCTACTTGCTGTTCTTGGAGTCAGCCTGATATAGTCGTGGTATCTATTTATTGTGTTTTTTGTGTGGGCTGCTTAATTTGTTTTCTAAATGTATGTGATGTAGAGTTGAGCAAGGGTCTTTTCCCGAATGCATAGCGAAGGGTTCCCGTCCATACTTGGGCCTGGGGGTTGCACCTGTGTTCGCTTCGCGTGCTCTGTGTCATCGTCTGTCGTCGTCGCGTCGTCGCTAATTTGTCCACATTGGGCAAAAACTTTTGGAGAGGGCTTTGGATGGAAGCATGACGTGTCAGATTCGTGTGAACTGGCGAGGAAACGTGTGGAAACCTGAGATGTTGAAGTGTGGAGGATGATTTCACTGCGCAGGCGCAGCGTTTTGTGCGCAATTTTCTGCGTAGTCAGATTGGGATCGGCGTTTGGAGGGTGGTGTTTTGTTGGATGTGGCTGTGACATCGGGGTTTGCGTTCCAGGGTGTTGCGTCGAAGCTGTGTTTTCTTGACAGGTCTCAGCCGAAATGGTGATTTTGGTGGATGGGAGCGTGTTCAGAACGAACGCGTCGAAATCATTCCAAACCTGTGGCATGGTGCAAAATTTGCTGAAGCTAACGTGATATGATATACGGTCATTTTTCGTGGCAGGCACAGTGCTTTGTGCGGTTTTTGAGGTGTGGAAGTGCAATTATTTTCGTGGCAGGCGCAGGGAACCGTGAGGGCGCGAGGTGTGGCGGAGGTCATATTTCGTGGCAGGCGCAGTACTTTGTGCGCGTTGGAGGTGTGGACGGACTTCCTCCACAAGTCACGTGTCAATCCTCCGAAGCGAGCGCGTCGTACGAGACTTCCTCAAAAACTCACCCTTCAAGTCTGCAAAGCAAGCGTTTCATACGAGACTTCCTCCAAAAGTCGCGTGTCAAGCCTCCACAAGGAGCGTCTCGTACTGCCAAGCAGGTTCGCGATTCCATCCCCTCCAAACAACACCTGCTCAGACGCCAATCCCAATGTCACGGCGACATACACCTCCACCACAGTTCGCAACCTCGCGATTCTCGTACGAAACGCTCGTGTCGGAGGATTGACGTGTGAATATTGGAGGAAGTCTTGTACGACGTGCTCGTTTTGCACACTCGTTTTACAGGGATTGACGCGTGACTTTTGGAGGAAGTCTCCAGCGAAACGCTCGTTTTGCAGACTTGAAGTGCGAGTTTTTGAGGAAGTGTCGTACGAAACGCTAGTTTTGCAGACTCGAAGTGCAAGTTTTTGAGGAAGTACTCGTACGAAACGCTCGCGTTGGAGGGTTGAGGCGCGAATTTTGGAGGAAGTCTCGTCCGAAACGCTCGTTCTGCACACTTGAAGTGTGAGTTTCTGAGGAAGTCTCGTACGAAACGCTAGTTTTGAGACATGACGAGGCTTTCGTAGTAGTGTTTCAATCAGGGTCCCACAATCCCGCGAGGGTGTTCCATAAGAGCGTCCTAAAAGAGTGTCCTACAAGAGCGCCCCACAAGAGTGTCCCACAAGAGTGACCGACAAGAGAGTCCGATAAGAGTGTCCGACAGGAGTGTCCGACAGGAGTGTCCTACAAGAGTGTCCCACAAGAGTGTCCCCCAGTGTTCCACAAGAGTGCTCAAGAGTGTCCCGCAAGAGTGTTCCATAAGAGTGTCCGACAAGAGTGTCCTACAAGAGTGGTGTCCCACAAGAGTGTCCGTCAAGAGTGTCCTATAAGAGTGTCCGAAAGGGTGTCCCACAAGAGTCTCCTACAAGAGTGTCTCACAAGAGTGTCCGACTAGGGTGTCCGACAAAAGTGTCCCACTATAGTGTTCCACAAGAGTGTTGGACAAGAGCGTCCCGCAAGAGTGTTCCGTAAGAGTGTCCGACAAGAGTGGCCCGCACGAGTTCCCCACAAGAGCGTCGTACAAGAGTGTACGACAAGAGTGTCCTACGAGGGTGTCCTAAAGGGTGCCCCACAAGAGTCTCCTACAAGAGTGCCCCACAAGAGTGCCCTGCAAGAGTGTCCCTCAATAGTGCCCGACAAGAGTCTCCTACAAGAGTGTCCCACAAGGGTGTCCCACAAGAGTCTCCCACAAGAGTGTCCCACACGAGTGTCCGACAGGAGTGTCCTACAAGAGTGTCCGACAATAAGACTGTTGGACACGAGTGTCGTGCAAGAGTGTTCCATAAGAGTCAAGAGTGTCCTACACAAGAGTTCCCCACAAGAGTGTCCCACAATAGTGTTCCACAAGGGTGTTCGACAAGAGCGTCCCGCAAGAGTGTTCCATAGGAGTGCCCGACCAGAGTGTCCTACAAGAGTGCCCCACAAGAGTGTCCCAGAAGAGTGTCCTAAAGGGTGTTTCACAAGAGTCTGCCCCACAAGAGTGTCCTACAAGAGTGTCCTACCAGAGTCACCAGAGTGTCCCACAAGAGTGTTCCACGACAAGTGTTCCATAAAAGTGTCCGACAAGAGTGACCTACAAGAGTGTCCCACAAAAGTGTCCTACAAGAGTGTCCGGCAAGAGTGTCCCACAACACCTTGCCACAAGAGTGCCCCGCAAGAGTGTTCGACAAGACTGTCCGACAAGAGTGTCCTGCAGGAGTGTCCCACAAGAGTGTCTTACAAGGGCCCCACAAGAGTGTCCTACAGAAGTGTCCCGCAACAGGTTCCCGCAAGAATGCCCGACAAGGTGCCTGACAAGAGTGTCCTACAAGTGTGTCCCACAAGAGTGTCCCGCAAGAGTGCCCCGCCCACAAGAGTGTCCTACCAGAGTGTCCCACGAGAGTGTCCGACAAGACTGTCCTGCAAGAGTGTCCCGCAAGAGTGTTCCGCAAAAGTGCCCCACAAAATTGTTGGACAAGAGTGTCCTACAAGTGCCCCACAAGAGTGCTTGACAAGAGTGTTCGTCATACAAGAGTGTCCGACACCAGTGTCGCACAAGAGTGTCCCATAAGAGTGTCCTACAAGAGTGTTTCGCAAGAGTGTCCTACAAGAGTGTTCCGCAAGGGTGTCCCACAAGAGTGAGTGTCATACAAGAGTGTTCCACAAGTGACATACAAGAGTGTTGGACAAGAGTGCCCCGCAAGAGTGTCCCACAAGAATTGTCGGACAAGGGTATCCTACAAGAGTTTCCCACAGGAGTGTCTCCTACAAGAGTGTCAAAAATTGTTTGGCGTTTGTTATCGAGTACGTGTTTGTATTCGGGTTCGTGGGTTTCATCATGCTTTTATCGTTGCTTCGCCCCCCCACAGAAACTAAATATCCGTAATGCGTAAAGGTCAAAGATGTTTGCAGTCAATGGAGTTCCTTCTTGACAAACAATGTTTCACTTGGACTGGCAAGTTTGATGCCTTGGTTTTCGCTCCGACTCACGCGCGTCAGTGTCCATTTCCGCATATCGCACGATTCAGAGGCTCAACGACTCAGCAAACGGAGCTTCATGCAGTCTTCACGTAACCAATTGACAAAGATAGACTACTCCTGAAGCGCTTCAGATCCTCCGATCTTCCAACCTCGAAGCTAGACAACACGTGCGAAGATGACCAAACTTTTGTCTATATGTCTCCCTTGGAAGCTCAAGAAGCCTTTGTACAGATTGTTCCAGAACGCAGCTTTGAAGGCCAAAGAAGTATATATAGTTTTCATTTCTTGGCTTTTGAAGTGCAGCTGCCTCGAGCAAAGCGTACTTGGTGAGAGGCCAACATGGGTTCCTACACATCTGGATGCGCCGGAGATTGTGAGAACTGCAGTGCGCCCAGGGCAGAAAGTCACCATCACCTTTGCGGGGTTCCACAATTGTTCGACCACTGCAAGGCTGCGTTGTCTTATTGCTGCCCACAAAGACTCGCCCAGACACAAACTTAATGCAAGCGCATGCCACTGAGGTACAGCGTGCACACGCAATGGGCCACGCCATCTATTTATCTAGTAAAGATATGATATGGCACATGAGCATGGCCCGACAGCCTGATGGTCGGTCGTTTTGACCCCCTTGGAAAAAGCGCCAGGTGCGGGCACTTGTGCCTTGCACAGGATAAAGAGCAGAAAGCATTCATGAAGACCTTCACCGTGAATGCAACTGTCACAAGCTGAGCACAAACCCTTCTGTCTCCGCAGCTGCTTCTAGACATTGCGGGGGCGGGTCTTTCTGGCAGCAGGAAATGCAGCAAGCCTGCCTTTTGCTTCATTTTTCCTGGAGCCACTGTGGGGGGTGGCAAGTAGTACTGACAGGCTTCGCCAACCGGCGATGCCCGTGGGGGGACTGCGTGCGTGCGGACTATATGGCTTCCTCCAATATCAGACATGTTCTTCAAAAAACACTAAAAACATTATCCCGGCAAGAGACCCCAAACAGTGTGTGTGTGAGGCCTTTTAAGCAGAAAGTCTAGAGATCTAGACGCATTGGTCAGAGAGGTGATGGTGGTGATCAAGGTGGGGACCCATTTCCATGCCCACTCAGGCAGTGACTCACCAAGGATCTTGACGCCATCCATCTTAGT